AAAATTTCTACCCAAATAGTTGAAATGTCCGTTACATTTTTTGGTTTGTTCTCTAGCATGAAATCTACATGATCTGTTGTTGGTATCTACCATTTATATTTTTGTTCTCCTAACTGACGCGTAGTCCTATTTTTGATGCTGTAGACGACACATCTGGTTTATGTATGTGTGTGTGTGTGTGTGTGTGTGTGTGTGTGTGTGTGTGTGTGTGTGTGTGTGTGTGTCTGTGTGTGTGTGTGTGTAAGTGTGCATGTCTTTATTATTTTTACTTAACAGAGCAATATTGTCTGCGAAATCCAGACCTGCTAGTTGTCTGTGCTCTTTCCCAGAGGTTTTCAAACTTATATCGCTGCGGCTCCCTTGTCAGGCACACACACACACACACATACACACACATATATATATTTGCGGCACACCTACCCTTAAGGCTGTAGGAATACTTAAGAAGGAAGGAAAACAAACCGGTGCAAAGTTAATGTTAAATTGTCTTTAATGCGATGAAATAAACTGTTTGGGTGAGTTTTTTATTATATTCTCTATATTTATGGAAAGTTTTGTTAATTTTACCCTCGGATCACTTGACCCGGAAAGTGTGCTCCTGTATCTGTGTGTGTGTTTTTTCAAATGTAAACGTACATTAAGAATGTCCTGCAACCTTGTCAATAGTATTGTCTTCTGAATACACCTGCATTCAGAACTCTGCTTGGCTTCCTTCGCGTTATTTCTATTTTAAACTGCTGATCTGAACTATATTTGGAAAGATTCTTGATTATTGCCAAGGCACCCAGTTTGAGAACCCTTGCTCTACCCAGTCGATGTTCGTATTAGCTTGCATCATTTAGCCTCATCCATTTAATGGCTATTCCCAAATGAACCAAATCATTTTGCATGAATTGTGGTGGTTACAAGTAAAGGCTTGCATGCAGGTAACATTGGTTTATTTCTAGTTTTGGATTAAGACTATCGTTTCAACTGGGATCTAAAATGTTAAATAAATCGGTAACACAAACGTAAGTCTCTTCATTCACAAAGTATTACACAATAGCTCACTTCTGATTGAGCCACGTTACATTGCCACAAGGTTAAGGGTGTTTATCGCAATGCAGTTGATATCGCGTGTTGTATAGTTCAACAGGCCAACGCTTTCAACACTAGAAAAAACATCGACAAACTGGGTCTAACACAAAACACCTTTAGGGAGTTATGAAACCTATGTCACAGGCATTTTCTTTCTTGGAAAAAAACTTAAATGCAAGACAACCATGAAAGCAAACAACAGAGCCGCACACCCGTAACTTGCAGGAAGGTAGGCCAGCCCAACACACTTATGAATGGAACATGACCTGCTTTGTTTGGGGAGACTAACGTTTGTATAAATAGGAAAACATAACCTGCAGAAGAACCTTCTATGGAAGCCGTTGAACTGTGGTTTTACAGATGAATGATGAGAACACTCAGGACATATAACAAGAGCAATAAAGATGTCTTGAATGAAAATGACTCAAGAAGAGCAATAATTGCCCACATTAGAAGGAGACAGTCTACATATTTTAGGTCATGTTATTTGAAGGGAACTCCGCTAAGACCAGTCCCAAGCCTGGCTGTAAGAGAAGGAGGGTCTGGTTGAACCTGAGTGCTTCATGCGTTTCCGGAAGTAGTGGGTAACTGTGAATCAGCCAGACGGCCTGCGTGCAGACCGCAAAGAGGCAGCTCTCACACCATGCAAAGGCACAACATGCCAATCACCTGTTTGCTATAATTACAAGTTACCAAAGAGAGAAAGCCGGATTTCACATCTACACACCCAAAGTAGAATAAGAGTGACTAAGTAGGTAAGTTATTTGGAGGATAATAGTGAGAGCATCGTGATGGTGGGAAAGTTGGAGGAGGAAAAGGCAGAGGGAGGCAGAGGGAGAGAGAGAGAGAGAGAGAGAGAGAGAGAGAGAGAGAGAGAGAGAAGAGAGAGAGAGAGAGAGAAAGAGAGAGAGAGAGAGAAGATGCTAGACAGTTTGACATCATGGTATGTAGGATCCTCTGTATTAGAACTTAATGAAAGTACACGAGACAGAAGGTTGGATATACACGGGACTGTCAATGCCAAAAGTGTGTGAGATCATCTGTCTCAGAACTGACTGAAAATACAAGAGACTGAAGGTTGTCGTACTAACGTCAAAAAGTATGGTTAGTCATCTGTGTCAGAACTGAGTGAAAAAAAAGGAAACACAAGGCTGTGGATAACATGATTGTCAACTCCACAAAGTAAGGGAGATCGTATGTGTCAGAACTGATTGATCGTATACAAAAAAGAAGGTTGCGAATAACGACTGTGAACGCCACAAAGTATGGCAAATGCATTTGTGCCTGAACTGATTGAAATTATACAAGACAGAAGGTTGTGGACAGACGTGACTACTAACGCCACAAAGTATGGCAAATTCATTTGTGCCTGAACTAATTGAAATTTTACAAGACAGAAGGTTGTGGATAAACGTGACTACTAACGCCACAAAGTATGGCAAATTCATTTGTGCCTGAACTAATTGAAATTATACAAAACCGAAGGTTGTGAATAAACGTGACTACTAACGCCACAAAGTATAAAGGATCAGCTCTTGTCAGAACAGATTGGCAGGCTCTACGTCAGTAGAAATGACTCAAGTGAAGGTGACCAGAAAAGCGGGAACTAGAAACTGTAAAGCCACCACAGGCAAGCCAAGAGAAACTGAAAAAAATTGAAGTTCTCTACCCCCCTCCATTAACCCCGCTCTTCCGCCTCTCCAAAAAAGAATATGGACCTTAACGTCTAGCAAGGATAAGGGGGCATACGTTTAAGTCATTTCATTGAAAGAGTCCGCAAGTCTCTTGGGGACCGTCTTATCTTGGTAATCATGATAAGCTTAGTTTAAGCTTCATAGCAAAAGCCAAACATGTGCGAACATTGACACAGACTGCAGTCTAAGCTTATCTACTAGCACACACAGGCATTGAAAACATAAGGCAGCTATCATAAGTGCTAACACAGACTTTAGAAAAGCAGTTAATTATCGACAGGAAGCAGCAGTCCAAACAGATCAGCATTTGCACACGCGATCAATTATAATCACCAATAATGTATCAGTAAGCCACACGCCATTTTCTTATTTGACACTCGACGAACATTCTAAATGAAATTCCCAACTCACATTGTCGCGTCATGCACTCAGTAGCTGTGCGAGAAAAGTATATCCTTTCAGTCTACAAATGGAGGAAAATTCACCAGCCACTGTCTGTCAGAAGCAATTAATTTGCCACGACTAAGAAAGGTTTCCTTTCCTATCGTTTATTTCGACCGTCTTATATGTCTAATGTCGGCTCTGTGGCTAAGTCGATGTAAACGCTTTGTAATGCCGGTATGCCAGGTTCAATCCCAGCTGCGGGCCATGCGCCTTGCGTTGGTTTCGACAGTGGTATCAGAGGGCCGACCGTCCAGTGGCAATGGCAAACTACTGGACGTAAATTTGTCTAGAGAAACCACACAACAGCCATGGGCTTCTGGGGTTGGTTCTACAACGGCCAGTAAAGAATACGCAACTAACCTATCTGTCTAATGGAGGGTGTCTCATCTAAGGGTTACGACCCTTGTCAAAGCTGTTCTCTTCCCCATCCTCTTTCTTCTGCATTCGTTACCCAGAGTTTCTGCTGTTCGGATGTAGTTTGGATATCTCTATAGGAAAACATAACTTACATACATCTATGTGACTGTATGCTTCCCGTGTGTCCGTTAACAGTTGGAAATTAAAAAAAAAGTAGCCTAACGGCCCGGGCAAAACAGGAGTTAAATATATACTTAAAGTATTTCAGGATCCTCGCCGGCGCTACATTGATAGATTTGATTCAAGAACCGACATCACAGCGCTCGGGGCATTCCCATAAGCGCTCTGTCCCATCTTTAGCAGCCAGAGAAGAGTTCCAATACTACTGGTGCCAGTAGTATTTTGATTAAACGTCCTTCTTGCCTTTCCTTTGAGCCTCGAGCATATGCCAGAACCTCTCGTCGCTCCCCACTGAATCAGTCTCACCAGACTGTGGTGATCCATCTGCTCCTCCGAACAGTACACGTTGTTTAAACTTTTAAACCTTTGTTTGGGCTTACCATAATAAACACTGATGAAACTGAAATTATTTGTAAAATATAAATAATATTGAATTTATAATTTGCCTTTTTGACTCTAAATGGACAACAGGGTGTTTTAAAATTGGAGCAAGTCGGTACGTGACATTCTTGTTGCATTTCCATGAAGGCCTTCTAACCGCAACATTCATGTATCGATTGTGATTGTAATAATATATTGCTGACTAGTTCTCTTCCTCTCTCTTGTTGTGAGAAAGTACCGGTGACATAAGGTACCACCATGAGGATAAGAATCACCCGTAGGGAGGTCCTAAAAACCGTTTTCAACCGTTATGGCCATTTTTATGGCCCAGCTATGTTAATGGCCGCCAGAAAAAGCCAGCGTGGGGCTTCAAATAACGAAAAATTGCATCCCACTTGGGGACGACTGAGATACAACTAGTTCTACTTGTCGTTTTAACTGATATCTTTTCAACAACAAGAATTCACATTGATTACTCCCGTGCACAGCCTGTTTTAATTAATGAGGTTTTTATTTATTACCTGGGCTTAATTGCTTTTTTAGTGCGCTTCTTATAAGGGAAAGATACTCCAGTGTTGTGTATTGACATTGACACAGGGTAGACAACCCATTTCTAATATGATCTGGTTACTGTGAAGTTTATATAAAAATACATAGGGAATGCAATAAGAAGTTGTATATTTGGTTGATGTCTGATTTCAATTTGGAGTTGTGTTCCTTTTATTTCTCAAAGATTTGTTAAAGGAAAAAGATATAACAAGGATATTGTCAACGAAGGAGGAAAAGAGAAAATAATCACTGCCGCTGATAATGAAAACTCTCTGAAAACAAAACATCGTAAAACTGGAAATCAGCGGTAACCAAACAATGAAATGGCTGAAAGATTTGACTCTACCCCTCTTGTTACTTTACTGCTGTGATCTACCCACCCCAGGACGGCGGAGTTCATGGATATCTGGAATCCAGGCAGACGACAGCCCAAACGAAGTGACCTACAATGTCAAGGTGGACCTGTCTGCAAGCGTTCATGAAATCGGAGGCAGATTTCTCAGCATGTCCTTTCCGGCCAAATATATCCCAGTTCAGTGGTATGTACAATATTGCTGGCTCATTTCATTTTTATCTCATATTGATTGCCTTGCATCTTACAATGGTCAGAAGGAGAAAATAAAGGCGTGTTTGCGTATTTGGTAAATGGGGTCCCCAGGGACTCCTTCTCTTCTTTGTTTTTCAATTTCTTCCTTTTTTAAATTTACGGTCAGCTTTTCTTTTGATTTCCATTTGGTCTGAACTTTATCGTATTCTGTGGTATTCTATATGCTTATTCACGATAGAAGGATCACCAAATAGTTATCCTGTTTCTATGCCAGCAAGAACCATATGAAACTCCATTGCTGCCTCTTGTGACACAAGTCATCAAATAGTTGTCCCGTTCCTATGCCAACACGAACCATATGAAACTCCATTGCTGTCCCTTGTGACACAAGTCACAAAATAATTGTCTGCTCCTATGTCAACAAGAACTATATGAAACTTCGTTGCTGTCCCTTGTGACACACACTGAAACAAACTGCAGCCTCGGCAAAGCTGTCAGCATACACACGCATTACATGCACAAAGCCACCCGTCAATACTGCAACCACAAAGAGCGCGTAAAGTATAGGACCCCTTTTTACACCTTCAGGCATATAGGTCAATACCTATATTTATAAACCAGTCGGCCTTTGGTGGATGATGTGGTCAACATCACGCCAGCCGCCTTTACTTCGCAGGACTGCACCTGGTACCCACTCAAGGCTGGGTCAGCTTGGGAGCCAGGATCATATTTCGAAAAATGCTGGGTCCCACTTCCATCAGGACCTTTTGATCCAGTTGCTATACCACGACCACTCCCAAACACAAACAGTTCGCTACTAGAATGATAGCAATTTGTGGATGGATGCAGGTACCGTCACTAAGTGATGATTACTGAACTTTTTCTTCTTCTTCTTTATTATCCAGTTTCGTCCTTTTTAGGACGAAATTTTTTGTTATTTGAAGCCCCACCCTTGCTTTTGCCAGGGGCCGCAATATAGGCAGGCCATAATATGGCCAATTGTCTGAACGCGGTTTCTTGGACCTCTCCACGGCGATCCTCATCCACATGGTGGCACTTTGTGTCATCGGGTGTTTATCGCTTGTGTGATGTCCTGGTGGGGTAGAAAGTCAGTCAGTCAGTTCTTCTTCTTCTTCTTCTCGTTCCCCGGCTGTGAATTCCTGCGGAAGGTCCCAGTAGTTCGTCCATTTGGACTTTTAGCTTTTGGATGTTAATCCGTTAAATAAACCCTAGTAAACCACAAAGTGCAAAGAAGCTCTTAAAAGAATAGTCACTTGTTATCAGCGTAAACTCTTTAAAACAAACACACACATAAATTCATGCACCCCTGTATTCAGTCTGTATTGAAATAAAGCATAGAAGTTGTTACTAAGAAGGCCAGGTGGTTCTTTCCCAATACCTCCCCCCGAACAGACAGTCGAATATTTTGGACTTGAGTTTTGCATGTACATCCGTTTTACTGGTTTTTTTTTTTTTTTTCCGTTCCTTCCTCACCGGCAAATGTACTCCTACTTCTGAATTGATAATCGACATCAAAGAATAACAATCATACAAATAGATACTAAATCTCTAGTAGTAAACGTTTTGAGATAAAGAAAATGAATGTCCCGGCAACCCCACGAATGTACACACCTACTCATGCCTACTTTCTTGCCGAATCCCCACTTAATTCAACATTCACGCATTCTTTCAGATGTTGTTTTTAATGTCCTTCATCATTCGTCATCGCGTTCACTGGCTTTTAACTCAAGTGAAAACTTCTATTGCTTGTCCTCCTTTAGTCTTGTTGCAGAATCTAAGTATTGCGTGCACATCCGTTTAACAGATCCGACTTAAATATATGCAGATTGTTGGTTCCTTACCCCTAAGACAGATGAACTCCGACTTCGAAGGAAGCTCACATATGGTCGACTCTTACGACATACTTGTTGGAAAGGCAACTGGTCTATTCTTGTTTTCCTACACGATGGGGCCCCGGAGCCAACACAGGTACTTCATCGTTCAATAAAGAAAAGTCTTTAAAATGTCTTACTCGTCTAATGTGATTGTTCGTGGAGCTATCGTTTTTGAAGTAAAAGCATCCTGTTGCTAACTCGCACTCACTTGCCGATGTCCCTGACAGAATATCCGTATGAGTCCCGTAATGTGGACTTGCTGATATTTGGTGTCCCTTCATTTCACAGTTTCCGCTTGAACCTTCCCCAGCTGAATCTGATTCTTCCTTTTTCTACTCCTGGAATGCCTCGCGGCGTCACGGCAGGAATTGATCTCTAAAACGGGCCCTTCTGTTTGCGTAGTCCGGTGTTACTTAGCCTGTGCATTGTGCTGAGCTTCTTTCGACTCAGACTTGAGTTAGAACAAAAACTGAGCACTTCTGGGTTACTAACCGCGTGCTATGATGTTGATCCGTTGTTCAAACTCTAAACTTTGATCGTGTAGAACAATGTACTTTTCAGTGTCTCTGATATGTTTGCGGTCCATATTCTGCGTGGTAGATCTCTTAATCATTTAAATTTGTCATAGTGTTTCTATAGTGTGTGTGTATGTGTGTGTGTGTGGGGGGGGGGTATCCGCGAAGTGGTCAAGTCGTTTGCCTCGCGCTCTGAAGGTCTTGGGTTCGTTTCATCGCGGCGCCGTTCAGTTCACAAAGCTATTCTTACGGAGATCAGTAAGGATCGTCCCTGGAACTAAGGGAAGTCGTGCCTTGTGCGACGTTCTGGGAAGGCAGCTAGCTGTTCTGCAGTGAGAGAGAGAGAGAGAGAGACTGAGCCATATGGCATAAAGCCCTGTCCACTGAACTCGTTCCTCTCACTTTTACCTTTACCATTATGTGTGTTTGTGTGTATGTCTGTGTGTGCACGCCTGTGCCTGTGTGTGTGTCTGTGTTTGTTGCACTTGTGCCCTCTTCTCCATCCATTACGTTCTTCGATTTTTACGGTCTGAGTTGTGTTAATTTTTTGTTTGTTTGGTTACTTTGTCTTAATTAAGTGATTTGCGTTCTCATCACTTTACAACAGGACAGAAAAGTTGCAGAATTTAGCCTCAGCGCTGTCACCTGCGGACATTCGGGTTCTGGGAAAGTTCCAACAGTTTTGTCCGGACCAGAATGTGGAGCCATCAAAGATCCAGGGACGATCTCCTAGCGCAGGTGTTCCACAAGATCCTTGCAAAAATAAAGAGGCTGGATCGGATTTTGTCCTCAGAGGTATAATGTAAGTTAGCTTCTGGTTATATAGGTCATGTTAGGTAAGCAGTTAATCAGTCATGTTTCCAAGGTAGCAGCAAACGGGTCACGCTGGTATAGTCCATTCTTGCACCAACGAAAACCACGCATGACAAACATTTCAAATGGAATCAGCAGCTCACAGTGTCGCGCCATGCACTCAGCTCAGTAGCTTGGCGACAAAATTATTTCTATGCAGTTTACAATTGGGGGAAAGTGCAACAACCCCAGTCTATCACAAGCTAAAAATTTGCCACGACTAAAAACAATGACCGTGCATATGTAACATGTGTAATCCTTACAGTGTGGATGTATTTTATGTTTCATATTGGCTTCTCATTTCAGTGTAGCCTAAAACATACACCGTGATATGTCCTAGAATGCAAACGCAGTGTTTTTTTTATTCACACCACCAATTAAGGATTCTAGCATTATGGCCGGAGTTGGACTCTCACTGTGGAAATGGAAAGGAGGATTCTGACTTTCGAACACAAATGTTATAGAGGCATTTTACGAATTACTTTTTTGGACCCCCCCCCCCACCCCCACCCCCCCCCCAAAGAAAGAAATGTATCAGAGACAAAATGTACAAATTTGCTGGATATCAGGAATTTCTCTAGTGAAACGTTGCAAACTAGGTTGGTTCGGGCATGTAGTGGGACGTGATTTGATTGCAAAGACAAGGAACATCGAGGAGTATTCGAAGAAGAGGAACGCAAAGAAGAATCGGGGGTGCTTTATTAATTTCCTACCCCAAACAGGGGAAATCCATAGGTCACGGAGCATTCTAATATTTCAGGGGAAGTGGATAGGCTGCATGCAGTCGTGAGACCTAGACTGCACTCTTTTGTGGGACCTAGGTGGGTTGGGGTTAGGGCTAGTTCTAGATGTTTTGGGGAACCCAGCCTTACCACCCTCTAAAATGTTGGACTGTCCTGTGACGTCATCTGGGGTAGGATATTAATAAAGCCCCGAATCTGGAATGGCAACATAAAGAAATGGACAGGACTACGTATAGTACAATTGTTTATCAAGCGGAAGACAGCGAAAGATGGCGGGCTTTATGGGCTAGTGCTTCCATTCATACACCTCCACGATCCTAACAGGTCATGGGTTTTGTTATGTTATGTTATGTTATGTTATGTTATGTTATGTTATGTTATCGAACAGGCCCTGATTGTTAATTAATTGTTATCACTCCTGCAGGTAACCAGTGGCAGATTTTCAATGCAAATGTGGCTAAAGTCGGCTGGAGTCTTCTGCTGGGATTGGAAAACACCAAACGGAGAGCCGACGGATCCTGGGACAGCTCGCTCGCCGAGTTGCTGTTGAACTACTCGTCCAGCAAGGATATACCCATTGGTTACTTCCACCTAGGAAATGGTAATAAGTCACTGACGGCTTTTAGCTTTAGGTCGGTAGTGTCAGATTATAGTAATCTTTGTACACCACAACATCTAGCAGGAGAATGGAGGTGGAGGCGGTAACTGCAGCTCTCCGATGGCTAGAGAACAAGATGCATACACATGTCGTAATTCTTACAGACTCTGAAAGCTTCGTGAGAAAGGTGAAGACAGGGATGCTTCGAGCAGAGTGGCAAGCTTCACTGGGAATGTCACGGGTAGTGATGTGGTCAGATTCATGCCGGCCGCCTTTACTTCCCGGGACTGCACCCAGTACCCACTCAAGGCTTGGTCGACCTGGGAGCCAAGGTAATTTTTGAAAAAAAGTCCTGCTTTGTCAAGGAGCAAACCCGTGACCTTCACGATCCGTGGCGAGCGTCTAGCGACTTTCCATCGTGGCAGATGAATGTCCAAAATGTCACAGCTCTCTTGGGAAGATGCTGTTAACGAGCCAGTTCTCTTTGATGTTCAGGTCATGCAAGACAAATTACATACAAATCATTTGTTCCACACTTAGAAAGAATGCCTTGTGACCCCATACCACAACTGTCTGCATCATTTCTCAGGGTATACCAATATTTTGGGAAATGAACAGGTGGACAGACTGGATGGCTCTGCACCACTTGGTGGAACATTGATGCATAATAAAGCGGACGTGGTAAAGGCTTTGTGGGAGAATGTGTACAATTCGGAGAAGCAAATGGATCACAACAGTTTGGCGAAAGTGATGCAACGGGGAGTGGCGAGGGGATTTGTCCTATACTCGGCGCTCAGAGGAACGGCAAGACGGACGTATAATGAGACTGCTACTGGAACCATTAGTATTGAAACTGTGCTGGCTGTTAAAGATGAGGACGGAGCGCTTACAGGAATGCCCCGAGTGCTGTGATGTCAGTTGTTAAATCAACTCAGCCAAACAAGGCATTCGCTGAAAAGAGATGAGGACGTTGGGAAAGAGGTAGACCAAGAACAATGTGGAAAGATATATTTTGTTATTTTCCTAGCCTCATAGCCGGCTGCCCATATACTAAATCTTTACTGGACAAATTTCAGATTCAATACGCAAATAAGACAAGAGACCAAGCAAGATAACGTATCCAAGTCTATACGAAAGCATTCCTGGAACTACATCGGCCATGCACTCAGAATGGATAAGGCCAGACTCCAGGAAAAAGAAAACGGAGAAGACCAAGAGAGACCGTGTGTAGAACCATCATCAGGGAAAGTTCAACCATGAGCTTAATGAACATCCAAGACCTACAACTGGTTTCAACGAATCGCCAGACATGGAGAGCTATGACCTCTGCCCTATACGCCGCTCTATGTTTAAGAGAAAAGACTAACTAACTAGTCTAACTAGTACTTGCCCACATATTTATGTAAACTTTTTACCTATCTTGAATTCAAACCATTCATCTCAGCACAACTAGTCTCTCTTTCTCTCTCTAATGTGCAACATTGACTATATTTCAGAACCCAACCTGTATCCGGTACAAATAAAGCTTACAATCGTCCCCAAGACACTGGTCGAGGACTACAAAATGCTTAAAGGGCTTTTAATCAAGTACCAACTCTATGCGGCCAGCAAACTGTACGGGCCTGACGTCACTACCCTAGACAAACACTCCACAGCTAGAAATTACTTAACACAGTAAGTATGGTACACTTTACTGATTACTGAGTAAGGACTCGACATCATAGGACAAAGGGCATACACATAAATGCTTTGTCTGGGGCAGCACATGCCTTAACTTTTTGAATCCCAAGGAACGTGTCATATGTTCATAGATTCCTACCTAGAAGCCCAATGAAAGCAAGATGAGTCGATTTTACGTCTTTCTTGACTATCCCTTGGGCCTGTGATGCTAAACCCTCTGGGACTCAAAGAGTTGAGGAGTCGATCAATGCTATTCCATAATGTGTACTCAGAAGCCTTCATTTCTTCTTCTTTGGACGTTCAGGGGATTGCGTGGTCTAGAGGCATGGTGTCCGTCTCGAGTGCTAGAGGTTCCGGGTTTAATCCACGGTAAGAGTTAGGATTTTTTTACGTGGGCTTGGACTTCAAGTAATTCTACCTGGTCTCTGGATAGTGAGATCAGACCCCGTATGCATTGCTGCGCACGTAAAAAATCCCTTGGCAGTTGGAAATCGAAAAGAGTATCCTAACGGCGCTGCCCGGGCAAGATTTGGAGTTAAAAATCTACCTAAAGTATTTCAGGATCCTAGCCGGTGCTACAGAGTCTGTGCATTGTGCTGAGCTTCTTCGGACTCACACTTGATTTAGAAGAAGAACGGAGCACTTATAGGTTACACCCGTGTGCCGTGATGTTGATCCGTTGTTCAACACCTCAAAACTTTAAACCTCTATTGTCGTCTCAATGATACCAGGTTGTAGCCCAGTGTCGTGGTTTTGTCGTCTTACTGATATAAAGTTGTAGCCAACTGGCGTAGTTTTGTCGTCTCACTGATACGAAGTTGAAGCCCAGTGTCGTGGTTTTGTCGTCTCACTGACACCAGGTTGTAGCCCAGTGTCGTGGTTTTGTCGTCTCACTGACACCAGGTTGTAGCCCAGTGTCGTGGTTTTGTCGTCTTACTGATATAAAGTTGTAACCAACTGGCGTAGTTTTGTCGTCTCACTGATACGAGGTTGAAGCTTAGTGTCGTGGTTTTGTCGTCTCATTGACACCAGGTCTCATTGCCCAGTGTCGTGGTTTTATCGTCTCATTGACACCAGGTCTCATTACCCAGTGTCGTGGTTTTATCGTCTCATTGACACCAGGTCTCATTGCCCAGTGTCGTGGTTTTGTCGTCTCATTGACACCAGGTCTCATTGCCCAGTGTCGTGGTTTTATCGTCTCATTGACACCAGGTCTCATTGCCCAGTGTCGTGGTTTTTGTCGTCTCATTGACACCAGGTCTCATTGCCCAGTGTCGTGGTTTTGTCGTCTCATTGACACCAGGTCTCATTGCCCAGTGTCGTGGTTTTATCGTCTCATTGACACCAGGTCTCATTGCCCAGTGTCGTGGTTTTATCGTCTCATTGACACCAGGTCTCATTGCCCAGTGTCGTGGTTTTGCCGTCTGATACGAGGTTGTAACCCAGTGTCTTCTCTTTGTCGTCTCACTGATACCAGTTTGTAGCCCTGTGTCGTGGTTTTGTCATCTCACTGATACCAGATTGTAGCCCACTGTCGTAGTTTTGTTGTCTCACTGATACCAGGTTGTAGCTCTGTGTCAAGGCTTTGTTGTCACACTGATATCAGATTTTAGCCAAGTTTCGTGGTTTTTCTGTATTTATCTTGCGCTTCTCGTGTGGCTTGGGAAACGGATTTGTTCATCTTTTTGCAGGTTTCGGCTACATCATTAATCCGTCTCCATTGGTCTTCCTCTCGCCTTCGTCCCAGATGTTCTACTGTAAAAAGTCTCAAATAAAATTTTGTCCGGCTGCATTCTAGCTAGATCCTTGAAACATTTCATTCTTCGTCTGTCAATATAATTCAGACATTGTCTTATTCCAGCTTTCTCTCTAATGCTGGTACTCAGAAGCCAGACGTAAAAAAAATTGGCTTGTCACGATTCCGAGATCAAGCGTAGAAAGATCACTGTTTTGCCAATGATCCACGGGTCACTCCAATAGGTAGATAGCATTTTATTCCCACGATTCCAACTCAGTACCTGTATCATTCATGTCCGGCGTGCAAATGTCTTTATATCGTAGTAAATGTCGGCATCGATATCTTCTACCTGTCATTAGTTCACTATAAAGGATGTTCTTAGGGACTATGTCATCCTCAATTCTATAGGTCTGGCCAAGTTTAATCATGTGGGCCGCAATTTTTCGTTATTTTGAAACTTACTGGGTGTTCATCGCTCTGTGTGATGTCCTGGTGGGGTAAAGCTTACTTACTTACACAGCCACCTGAGCCTTCGAAGACAGAGCATTGAGAAGACCGTTGTAATACCTGCTCTTTCCAGTACCTCAGTGTTTGTGATCTTGTCTTGCCACTTAATGCCAAGTGTTCTTTTTAGGCATCGCAAATAAAATCTATTCAGCCGTTTCTCCTGGTGCGAATAAGTTGATAAAATTTTAGCTGCAATAAAGCAAAAGTTTTAGTTTTTAGGTTTGAACAACAGATCAACATCAGGGCACACGGGTAGAAACCCATAAGTGCTCCGTTCTTCTTCTAACACAAGACTGAAACCGAAGAAGCTCAGCACAGTGTACAGGCTCTGTAACACCGGCGAGGATCCTGAATTACTTCGGGTAGATTTCTAACTCTAAATTTTTGCCTGGGCAGCGCCGTTAGGCTACTCTTTTCGATTTTCAACTGCCAAGAAATTTGTGTCGTGAGCAACAATACACAAGAGCGTCCGATCGCACTACACAGAGACCAGGGGGAATTACTACAAGTCCAAGTCCACGTAAACAAATCTCAGCCCTTACCGGGTGTCACATACCGCTTGTGTCGCGTGCCTGAATTAAGGATTTCTCCTTAAGAACCAACAGCACTCTGAAAGAAAATAATGTCGAGGCGTCGGCTCGTATTGGTCTAAGGGATATCCCGTGGCCAAAAAACGCTCAACTTATTTCAGTAGTAGGGCTACTCAAGTACTGGCACTACAGAATATCTAATATTCCTAGGCACACTTAGCTGGACACCCCCACTACTATAAAAAGTTAGCCGCCAGGCTATGATAGCATACTATCATAGACATGTTAACACAGATGAAGATTATTAATTGAACATACATGTACTTTAGTCAGCTAAGAACAATGAATGATTGACACTCCAGTCAATAGTGAAAACTCGGAAATGCATGTAATAAGTTCAACATCAACATGATACATGACTCAAAGGAAGATAAAAAGCATTGGAATATTGCAAGATAAACACCGGAATTCCCTTGACGGACATTGAGGAATCTCCTAGAGGCAGCCTGACATCATCATGGTGGTTTGGCATGGACCTGTAAATGTAGAACACTGCATTACCATAGAGTTCACTACTTATCTGTACCTAGTCAAGGTTGGAGTCACTGCATTTATCGGTTCATGATGCTGGAACAGGCTGGCCTTCTGAGAATGTTCACTTCAATGGTTGATCTGGCAGACACTGTCACATATAGAGTCCAAAATTTGAGCTGAACAAGCTCCTGAAGAGGGTGTTCTGGACCGAGGGTGGTCCTGATGGACTGGAACAACAGCCTTCCAGCCACTGGAACCCAACACGTCCCTGAAGAAGGCACACTGGTGTGAATGTCAATTGCACTGCCTGTAAGCAGATGCCTACTCTTTGGCTCCCACCTTGTTGTTTGCCATACTGATGGTTTGGTAGTGGGTACTTTGGCGGTTGGTGCTTTGGTAGTGGACACTTTAGCGGTTGGTGCTTTGGTAGTGGGCACTTTGGCGGTTGGTGCTTTGGTGGTGGGCACTTTGGCGGTTGGTGGCTTTCTAGACTGGCCTCCAAGGAGATATCATCCCAAGCTTAGGATTTCCTCCAGAAATTAACTGGTACTTTTCAAAGTAGAAACTAGACACAAAGGCAAATGCGTCTGGACTCTCTGGAAGTCGGCAGTGAATGAGAGGGAAATGTTAGCGTCCTTTCAAAGAAAGTAGCCCGCGATATTAATGCGTCGAGGAGTAACAATGCTTCTCGGAATTCTGAATATAAATACCGAGAATCTCTACCCCACAACTGCAAATTTGAAATTGAAGACTTCACAGGAGATCCAGAAGAAATAGATATGTCTATTTCATCAGATAAAGATGTAACTAGATATGATGGACTATTTACACACCCGGACGGGTTTAAATTTGAAATGTGACCTGCCCGCTAGGGATGTCAACGTCACGACTAGTTCACACTGTAGGGTTGGCTGTTCACTCCGCGACACCGGGGAATGAACCCAGAACCCCTAGCACTCGGGGCCGACATCATGCCTGGAGACCACGCAACCCCACTGATATAAAGCAGAGTGCTGAGAAGACTACACTGACAGACAAGAGTTTGAGATGTGAACAGCCTTTCTATGATCTACATCAGTCATTATTTTCAGGTTTTTGGCAGCAGGAGGGGAGAATGTCGTCGACGCCATCAGTCTTCACCAGTGAGTTAAAATTTTTTTTCGTTATCATCACCATCATCAACATCATCATCATTATCTTCTTTTTCTTCCTCTTCCTCTTTTTTCTTATTTATTGATACCTTCTTCTTCTTCTTCTTCTTCTTCTTCTTCTTCTTCTTCTTCTTCTTCTTCTTCTTCTTCTTCTTCTTCTTCTTCTTCTTCTTCTTCTTCTTCTTCTTCTTCTTCTTCTTCTTCTTCTTCTTCTTCTTCTTCTTCTTCTTCTTGTTTTTTTTCTTCTTTCTTCTTCTTCTTCTTCTTCTTCTTCTTTTTCTTCTTCTTCTTCTTCTTCTTCTTCTTCTTCTTCTTCTTCTTCTTCTTCTTCTTCTTCTTCTTCTTCTTCTTCTTCTTCTTCTTCTTCTTCTTCTTCTTCTTCTTCTTCTTCTTCTTCTTCTTCTTCTTCTTTTTCTTCTTCTTCTTCTTCTCCTCCTTCTTCTTTATTCTTCTTCTCATCATACTCCTCCTCTGCCTTCATCTTCATCATCTCCTTTTTTCGTCTTCGTCTTTTTATTCTCCTCCTAATCGCAATTATCTTATCAACACAGTTTTGTTGTTATTTGTTTCTTAAATATTCTTTGCATAGGGGTGGAGGAAGCAACCACAAAAATGGGAAAAAGGGGGTGGGGGTGCTGAGAGTAGAGGTGGGAGTTGTGTTGTCATTCATTTTTTTTTTCAATATTGTTTCTTTCCTCTGCGGGCCTCTTTGGGATAGCTGGTACCAAGTCAGATTTATCTGATAGCTAAACAATGTCTTGTGCTGCTATTTAATATATTATATATTAATAACGTAACAGAAACTGTACTGATCGGCACTCATAGAAAGATGCAGAAAGATAGGAGAACTATTTAGAAGAACTGTTTATTCATTTCAAGTGAGACCTGGACTATGTCTCAGTCCTTAAGGGGTCACTACACGGCATTTGTTTCCAATTTATGATAAAAATATCACTTTTTCAATGTGTTCATTTCGGTAAAGTTCGGCATTCGTAGAATAGATTACACACAAAATTTGTGTCATTTGTAAACAGTTTAGCATTGAAAAGTTATTAGTAAAGACACCAACCCATGCACTTTTTTTCGGATTTAAAAAAAGTTTAAAAGTCAGTTTTCTCACATCTCTATATTTCTGTGTGTGTGAAATCATAAAATCTAAACTAATATAAAGGCTAGAAATATCAAATTTATATGGATATTTCCTAAACAATGTTATAGGGACTGGTCTGTTTGAAAGTAGATTTTAGAGAGTTTTTGTTTTTACAATTTGATTTTTGTCTTATGATGCTAGATTTTATTGACGTTTTCAATAAACCTACATTTTAAAATTCTACGATAAATATTTAAAAACATGTTTAAAGTAAATAAACTAAACTTGCACCACTACATGGGATTAGAAGTCATGAATCCATCATCTATTGTTGAATACGTATGTTTGTTTTTAAAATTTTAGGATTCTAAGTAAATATTGTTTTTTTTTTTATATACAATGTTGGCTATTGTCATGACAATCATAATTTTTTTTTTACACTTAAAATATACAAATGTCATAAAAAGTATCCCTACAAATGTCATAAAAAGTATCCCTACAAATGTCATAAAAAGTATCCCTACAAATGTCATAAAAAGTATCCGTACAAATGTCATAAAAAGTATCCGTACAAATGTCATAAAAAGTATCCGTACAAATGTCATAAAAAGTATCCCTACAAATGTCATAAAAAGTATCCCTACAAATGTCATAAAAAGTATCCCTACAAATGTAATAAAAAGTATCCCTACAAATGTCATAAAAAGTATCCCTACAAATGTCATAAAAAGTATCCCTACAAATGTCATAAAAAGTAAATGCTCTAACTCTGTCAATAAATGAAAATACAAATTTTGATGTATTGACCCCTTGAGAAAGAGAATAGGGGCTTTTGAGCTGAAATGCTATAGAAAGATTATCGAAATATCTTGGACAAAAAAGATAAGAAATATTGACATCTTCAAAGATCTAAACATCAAGGAAGATTGGCTAATAAACAGCATCCTTTCTCGAAATCTGAGATATTTTGTTCATATCAAGCGCCACGGCGGATTGGAAAAAAATTAAAGCAGAGGGTATGGTATTAGGAAGGAGGGGCAGGGGCCGACCGACACGAAGATGGGCACAGGATATAAGTGACTTCTTGTGTGTGAAAGTGCATGAGGCGGGAGAACTGGCGAGAGACCAAGTTTCTTTCAGGCAGACTGTGATGTGAGCGACGTTCTGCAAAGGACCTGCTACATGATGATGATGATGATGATGATGATGATGTTTATTTGTTTAATATATTGTACAACTGATTTGAGAACAAAGCTTCTTTCTTTGAATTCTAAATGTAATATCATTACATAGCTACTACTGCAAAAATAATGCTTCGATGTGGGAGTTTCTGAATCCGTCGAGTCTGGAATCGCTAAGAAGTTCTCTTGAAATCGGCAAAACTCTGGTGCAAGTCACTACAAATCCTTTACCACTGATATTGTCAGAAACATCATCCTGTGCTGGCGGAGGGGCGCCGAATCTGTCAGGTCGTTACCTAGCTGGGTTCTTGTGAGTATTACTCTGTTTTGTCTGCGTGTGAGTTTGTGTGTGAGTATATGTGGGAGTGCGTGTGTGTGCGTGCGTCGGTGTTCGTGTGTGTGTGTGTGTGTGTGTGTGTGTGTGTGTGTGTGGGTGCGCGTGTGTGTTCGTGTATATTTGTATGTGGGCGAGCGCGTGTGTCCAAGCGTGTGTGTAAGGGGGAGGGTCTTTGTGTGTGCGTGAATGTGTACATGTGTGTGCGTGCTTGTGAGTGTACGTGCGAGCGCGTGTGTTTGTGTGTGTGTTTTCTCACATTTCTCTTCTTTGTTCTTTCTTATGTTTCCTGATATCGCTTAACTCTTTTATCCGGGTTCAAACCTCTGTGAATCCTGGGGATTTTTCACGTGGGCTTCTGGTAATTTCCCCTTGTCTCTGGGTAGTAAGACCGGACGCCCGTGTGTATTGTTGCGCACGTTGACAATCTCTCGGCAGTTGGAAATCCAAAACGAGAAGCCGAACGGCGCTGCCTGGGCACAATTTAGATTTTAAAATCTACCCAGCGTATTTCAGGATCCTCGCCGGTGCTACGGAGTTTGTATACTGCGCTGAGTTTTTTTTTTCACACTCAGGCTTGAGTCAGAACTAGAACGGTAACTCTTTTCAAAACTCACACATCAATTCATGCATTCCTTTATTCAGTCTGTGTTAAAATAAAACATGGAAGTTTCTCCTAAAGAGGCCAGGTGGTTCTATCCTAATCTCTCCCCCCTCCCTCTTCTACCAAGTAGACAGTCTCTCTCTGCCTCTCTCAATCTTTCTCTCTCTAACACTCATGTGCATGTACACACACAAACGCACACACACACACACACACACACACACACACACACGTGAACAAGAAATCTGAAGATGTTCAACATGTGTCCACAGATGGTTGGATAAACTGGGTCTGTCCGCCCTCTACGGCGTCAAACAAGTGTTCCGACAAAGCTTCTTTTCTGGAGCCGCTTACTCGCTCGTGCTGATCAGTGACGCAACACCACAACCAGTTCGTAGCCGGTTTATTCTTTGTATTGATATTGATCACTAGCCTTGCTTCACTCATCATCATCATGTAGCAGGTCCTTTGAAGAACTTCGCTCTCATCACAGTCTGCCTAAAAAATACTCGGTCTTTCGCCAGTTCTCCCGCCTCATGTACTTTCATACTCAAGGAGTCACTTATATCATACTCAAGGAGTCAGTTATATCCTGTGCCCATCTTCGTGTCGGTCGGCTATAATTTTTTCCAGTCCGTCGTGGCGCTTGATATGACCAAAATATTTCAGCTTCTGAGACAGGATGCTGTTTATTAGCCAATCTTCCTTGATATTTAGATGTGACTACACACCACACCACACCACAAATAATTGAAAATAAAAAAAGACAGCCAAAGAACCTTCCTTCATATAGCAGGCCTCCTGGCAGCTGAAAAAGGAGAAAATTAACCATCTAGGGTGGGAACTTCTGGAACATCCACCTTACAGCCCCAACTTAGCCCCTAGCGATTTCTACATTTTTTGTTCTCTGAAAACCCAACTAGCCGGGAGACATTTCGCGAATGACGCAGAAGTTGAATGTGAAGTGAAAATGTGGTTTAGAAAACAGAGCACGCAGTTTCATGCAGCAGGTTTGGGGGACTGAAAGAATAATGTAACAAGTGCATCGATGTTGGTGGAAATTACGTTGAAAAAAAAAAAAAACAGTGTATGAGTAAAAATCAATAGTTTTCAAGTTGTTATCGTCTTTAGTGTTTAAATTATTTTTTAAATATTATTTTAAAACAACCATTCGTGATCTACTTTTTGACTTCCTCTTGTATAATTGAACGGATATTGGTGCCATCGGAATTGGAACTCTTCGTTGGCTGTTTAAGATGAGAACTATTTCATGTTGGGTCAGATTTTAAAGTGAGTCGACTTTAGTCAAGAAGCGATTGCTGAGCTGTCGGTTGTTGACTTAAGTCGACTCATTTCAAAATCTGACCAAACATGACTAACAGATGGTTCAGATCGATTCGCATATATTATCAGGATTCGATAAATATGTTACTACCAACGAGGAAGCTACACCTAACAGATCAGAAGTGAAATCAAGCAATCAAGAGGCCACCCTAGGTAGAACAGACTGATGACAAAGAGCTTCTACAGCGACACGGAATGACAATAGCCATTGCTACCCACCAAGCAGTGGATCTCAGACTATGCCCATAATACTTAACGGCAGAAGAGTAATGATGATGACGATGATGAGATAAATATAATAATTCGATTCAAATAGATTACCAACAGGGATTGAAGTATCACTTTGAGTCGGATAGACTGCCATCTTCACCTGTAAAAATCCTTTAAATGAACAAAAATCATCAACGTTACTTGCATAAATCTATTTAATTCGCAGAGATTATTAACATTTAATAACAAAATCCTTATATATATTTATAAAACTTACTATTCCCCAGGATTACTACCTAAGCGTGCTGTTTAAAAGACTTGTGGAAGGTCCCGTGTTTACAGTGAACCTCAACCCACCAAATCAGAAACTACGAGTGTATGCTAATTGTGCAAAACAGGGAAAGTAAGAATTTCCATATTTCATAGTCTACAGTTAATGTTTGTTTTAGTATCCAGAAGCCATGAGTTGTTAACCCTTTGGCTCGGTATTATGGATATCGCAACCTTTCGGCCTTGATTGCATTGTAAATACCGTAAATCTGATAGGAAATGTGGCTTTCCTGCCTACACCCGGGACTGAATCCGGACCACAAGGAGTTCATCACCCGGTCTCCGCGCAATCCGGTTTAGCCAACTACGCTAGAAAGCCGGGCTAGTCTACGGTTAAAGACACATCCATTTATCCAAAGGCATCCTCACTTATCCACGTACCGGTCGCAGTTACACACATAGCATCCTTAAGTATCCACATGCCATCCTCAGAAATGCATACGTTACCTTCAGATGTTCACATGTCACCTTCAGATATCCACAAGGCATCTTCACATATTTGCATTGACTCTCAAATATTCACATGTCATTCCCCTATATCCACATGACATCCTCGAGTATTCAGCTGTCATCCTGTTGTCTTGAATATCTTAGGCCGTAAATATCAGTATCTACCTAGCACATGTAGGCATCTGAGGCTTAGGCGTTGCTAACGCGCTTCGTAATGCCGGGGTGCCGGGTTCGATCCCAGCTGCGGACGATTTGTCTTGCGTTGGTTTCGAGAATGTACCGAGAACTGACCGCTCAGAAAGTAATGACAAACTAAGTTAGTTAGTTGCGTATCCTTTACAAGACTTTGCAGAACCAAACCCAGCATGGTTTGGCTCATGTGGTTTTTCTAGGCAAATTTTACGTTCAATAGTTTGCCATTGCTTACTGAACGGCCAGCTCTCGTTACACTGTCAAGACCAACGCAAGACAAACAGTCTGCAGCTGGGATCGAACCCGGCAACCCGTCATTACAAAGCGCGTTCCCAACGCCTAAGCCACTCACGCCGACAATGGCAAACTACTGAACCTATAATGTGCCTAGAAAAACAACAACAGCTACACAATATTGAGGTTGGTTCTGCACTGTCCTATAAATGAATACGCAACTAACTAATCTAGCACATACTAGGACACGCAGCTCTCCAAAACCTGACACTGAGAAGCCAGAATAGGACTAGAGAAGAAGAAGAAGAATATTCGCATACTTATCACCTCGGTAATCCTCATCTCATTCAGATATTCACATCTCATCCTAAGATTTTCAGCGGCATCCGCTGCTAAGGCGTTACGTACGTACCGCGATCAAAACCCTCTGTTGGCTGCGTGGATTTTAATCATGGTATGGGGCGACCCAGCCTAAAATGGGTACCAGGATGTATGTCCTGGGAAAGTAAAGACGGCCGGCGTAATGCTTACCACATTACCCACCTAGCGCCGATTGGTCTGTAAAAATATGAGGTGGTCTTCACATATGCCCTATGCGCCCAAGGGATTTTTACTTTACCTTAAGATTTTCACATGACCCCCTGAGACATCCACATGTCCCGATATAATGTCACATGGAATGCTACAATATTCACATGTCATCCGCAGATACACCCCAGGTGACCTGGTGATCTATTACCTCAACCTAGAAGAGACCCCAGCTGTCCTGTCACTGGACCAGTTTCAAGATGCTGACCTGGATTTATACATGCTGACCCCGGGAGACTCCGAAGGCATCAAGTCCAGGTTAACAATGTTAAATGTTGAATCACTGCACACGGGATACCCCGTCCCCATCTTCAGCAGCACGCGAAGTGTTCCAATTCCGATGGCACCAGTAGCTGTCTGATTGTATATCTATCTCGCCTTTCCCTTGTTGAGAGTCGGCCAGATCCTCTGGTAACTCCTCGCAGCGCCATCCTCTTCAGACAATGTGATTTATCTATGCCTCTGCACTGTTCTCTAGCTGCCAAGATTATTGTTGTTGTTGCTATTGATCCAGAGCCGCATGAGCTTTCGCCCTCTGGCCAAATGTCATGTAGTGCAATTTGCATGTTTTCACAAGCTGTTCTTTTCCCCAGCGCATGGTGTTCCACTTATCTGGTCTCGGAGGGAGTAGCATTCTTCTAGTCTCGCGGTGTTTTGGGTACTCAAAGGGATGGTGTTCAACAGTTTCGAAGGGGTAGTTACATAGAGGCACTCTGGGGAGTGTTGTGACTGTATTCTGTTTAGATGTCTATTGAGTGTAGTATCTTGTTTTCTGAGTCTGAAGATGGTGGCCTGCTCCCCGCTCCCAAGGTAAAGTAACTCGAGGTTATAAGTGTTTAATATACCCGATTTTAATTACCGCGGATTATTATTCATAGAGCATCACCAGAATTAAATGATTTGGTCATCTAGATCAGAATGGCCAGGGCTGTAGGAGTAGTGACCATGAAGAGATAAGATCAGGAATATGAAGATCATAAGAGAACAAGTCGGCACAGAACCAATCTTGGATTACATTACAAAGACGGCAAGTGAAATGGTTTGCCCACTTAGAGAGAATGCCTTGTGACACCAATTACCTCACAAAGCAGACATGGAAAGAGAAGAAGGACGTAGAAGCACGGGGTAGACCCAGAACAGAAGGGGATTGAAGGATAACATCAGAGAAACTCTACAAACAGCACGATGTGCCTATGGTCGAGTCGGCCAGAAGGGCTAGAAACAGAACCTTATATCTCCCTCGACACCCACAGCGGTAAAAGAAGAAGTGAAGAAGAAGAAGAAGAAGATCAGAATGGCAGAAAAATCAGCTAGCAGCTTAATGAGAACATCATGATATAAGGGAAGAGTCCCACCAACAAACTCATTGATAGAGGAAGTAAAAGAAAATAATACGTTAACGCGGTATAATACTAACACAAGCTACACAATTTAGCCGCGGTAGTGTAACGGCTAGTCGCTTGCCTGCGGATCGGAAGGTACTGGGTTCAGCTCCTGACGGTGCTATACTCTTGTTCTTTATTTTTCGAAAAGTTAGACCTAGCCTTCAATTAGTACCAGGTATAGTACTGGGAAGTAAAGGCGGTCGGTGTTATGCCGACCACATGATGCGAAAAGTGCGGGCTGGTAAATGAAATATAGATCTCGCCCTTCACGCCCAATGCGCCCGAAGAGAAGAAACGGGTGCGTAATTTCACTTTTGCAAGCTACATGACTGTCAAAAGTTAGTGAAACTACATTCAACACCTTCTCTGCGACGCCGCTTCTCGGCATAGAATTTAAAAAAAAAAAAAAATTAGTTCTGTACCCTTGACAGGACGTTGCAGAACCAGCCCCAGGTATTTTGTTCCTGTTGTGGTTTTTCTAGGTAAATTTTACGTTCTGTAGTTTGCCATTGCTATCTGGACGGCCAGCTCTCGGTATACACTGTCGAACCCTGTCGCAAAACCAAAGCAGACAACCGTCCACAGCTGCGATCGAACCTAGCACTCCAACATTACGAAGCGCGTTAGCAACGCCTAAGCCACAGACGCCTAACATAAGAATTAGGACAATAGACTTTCTATCCCCCAACGGAGCATAGGCCCTCAACCAACTCACGTCTTCTTCTTCTTCTTGTGTTCGCTTTCTGATTTACACCGACAGACAGGTTCTTGTGATAAACTTGACTGTTTTTTGGGGGAGGTTTTCAGTTCATTTTTTAGTCCCATACAACTTTGTGTACAGTGGTGACTCACTGGGCCAGTGTTCCTTGTTTAATGGGCTGAACAACAACAACAACAACAAACTCACGTCAAATCGTTCTATCCTTTGCCATCGCATGAAGCCCCCCCTCCCCCCCACCCCATGTCCTCACTATCTTTCGAACTTCCTTCTCCAGCCTCTTCCGCCATATGTTTGTGGACTTTCCATTATTCCTATGCCAATGTGGGTTTCAACTCCAACGACATCGCTAGTTATGACGTTCTCCGGTTGTCTCAATGTGTGTTCTCTATCCAACCCCCGCGTCTTTTTCCTAAACTGGCGCTGTTTACTCTTCCCAACGCTACATTAGTATTATATAATGCCATCTAATTCCTCTTTCTTCGCAAGCACCAGTTAATGGATAGCTGGACAATCATTAGTAGTGGTTGTTGGTTGTTCTCGCATGTTTCCGCCTCAATACAATAGTACTTATTGGCTATGAATAAACTGTTATAGATCGTTTAAAACTGAAATGGTCTTGTGGTTACAGTCACTGTGGGGTTCCTAATTCCCAGCAAATTTTAGTTACAGATGTTCTGCTGTTGTCGTCATCGAAAGCTGAGCACAGTCAACCTCCAGAATCAAACAGCTACCTGCGAGAGCGTATAACACAGAGCACGGACCTCTGTAGCTCCGGTACGTTCCATGTAATTCCTCAAAAATTGCACTTTTAGCTGAACGGCCCGCCCGGGGGCGAAAACCCCCAAC